TTTAGCCTACACAGCAAAAAAAGTTGTTGAATATTACATCGAAACTGCTGCAACCAGGTCAATCCATCGGTTGTGTAAAATCACATTGTACGATGTACATCGATTTTGCGAACAAAATTACATCCATTGATGTAATAATGTATCTGCGTTTTGCTATTACATGATTATTTCATGCATCAGCTTGAATTACGTTGATCGATATTACATTTTTTTTTGCTGTGTATGGCTAGTTCATCTCCCTGTTCAGATGAGAATAAGTATTCAAAACAGCAGTTTTTGAATCGAAAATTCTAGACTAACATTTGAAAGGGGCGGAAGAGCAAAATGTAAACAAATCATATTTTGTCACATATAGAGAGAATAGTTCACAAACTACTCGATAAACACGAAAAAGTAGAAGAAAATATCACTTCATATCATCAAAAACGTTTCTTCTTACATGGCGAATTTCCAACTTTCAACTCGATGATGCAACTGGTTGTTACGCCTTGCACCAGAACAACGAATTATATTGTTTTAATATGCCAAACGTATTGATTCTGTAGTATCTAGTCACGCCCGATTCATTTGAAACGCATCCGATTGATATTTAACGTGTAAACAACGAACAAAAAGAAGACCAAAAAATCTCCGGGCGTAATTCCACTCTCACAAAATTTGCGAACGAAGAACCAAGGCGGAACAACAAACACTAAATCCCGATGGTGTACTTCCACGGCGTATCACCAGTGTTGGCAGTTCAAAGGATGGAAGATCTGGGGGGTAACAACATGTAAGAAATTATCAGGGCGTATGATGTTTTCTTCTCAATTTCACGACAAAGAAAACTTTTTTTGAGTTTTTAGTGATGCATGATGATAGATTACACTATTAACTATATGTCAAGCTTATAAAATCATCCAGAAAATGGAAAGTCGTGAAATAGGATTAATTTTTAGGTCATCAAAATTCGGAAGCGATTTTCTCGACATGGTAATTTTGGAGTTCCGCCCTTTTCAAATGTTAGTCTAGAACTGTCTTCACAAGTTTCGTCTCAGACACAGGTACAGTCGGATTTCGCTCGTTGGGCTTCCTTTAAGTGGGCTAAGTTTTAGTTGGGCTCCCAAGTCAAACGTCATTTCTGAAAGTGCTGATTCCTTTTTTAAATTTCAACCGACTATGCTAAAACCGGCAGCTTATGAAAATTATAGTTGCTATATTCATAGTCTGACGGATAGAATTTCGATCTATCAAAAAGCGGAACCAATTCATTATATTTTAGACCAACAATTGAAAAGGTACTATCAACTTTTATAAACAAAACGTTGATTATTCTTTCCTAGCCAATCGAACGCAAATTACCCGCATCATTGGATAGGGGAAATTTTCCTCAACCCAAAGATGTTGTTAGTTTGCGTAGGTGAGCCGTTAGTCACGAGAAAAGGCTTTCCGAAGTTTTATTCGGAATAGCTGATATGCTCTTTTCTGTTGTTGGTCGTGATTTGCTCGATTTGTTCCGCTATTTGACAGCTCAATTGGTTCCCGAGATTCTATCCTCCAGACTATAAAGCCCTACAGTAAAAGTATGGACGTCTGTCAAAAGTTGTTCCAATCGAACCGTCAAAATGCACCGCTTTGCTCGATTGGAACAGCTTTTTTAAGTTTTGTGGTGACAGTCGTCCATAATTTTACTGTACACGCAGGTAAATGCACATAAGATATTCATTAAAATACCTTTTGAAATTTAGCCACAAGCAATTCTCATGATGTTCAATACGATACATTATGAAATCAAATTTATTGGGCAAATCAATTCGTAGGAATTTCTTAAGGATTTGGTAATGAAATCATCATAATGCAAAGCTTAGTTCATAATGACGCATTAAGAATTTTGAAAATTGAAGCATACACTTTCAATTACCTACATTATGAATTGTGACACCAAGCGAATGAAAATTGAAATGCATAATTTCAAAATTTATACATCAGTGAGAGATGCCGAAAAACTGTATTTACAGATTCCATTGCTGAATAAATCATGCATTGGATCCACAGTAGAATTCTCAATTACGTGAAAAGACGGCGTCCTCACTAATGAGTCTGTTGACCCCTGCCTTTTTAATGGTGGTTTAATTTTTCGGATGATTCCCACTACAAAAAAATTGACATAGCTTCGACTTGTATGCGTCCAGTACCGTCTTCAATAGCCACTTCCATCTTGAGTTTTGGCTCTAAATATTATAACGTTCCTTATGATTTTTTTCAAATAAACACTCTTCCAACTTTCATAATGCGCATAATGAAATTCAAACATGTGGTGCATGAATGGTTTATGTCTAAATAATGAAAACTGAGATGTCTTATATGTAACGCATAAGTGACTTATGAAAGTTTGTTTTGCTTCATTTTTGAGTTTACATAATGTTTGAATTTTGGTTTTCTTATGCTCATTTCCCTGCGTGTAGGGCTTTACCAGACTATGGATATAGCGACTATTAAAGAGCCTGAATTTATAAATAATATAAATTCAGCCTCTTTAGCGACTATAATGGAAATTAGAAATACTAAGAGGGAGAGATGGGCGGAAAGAATGTTTTGAGCCAAATGAACTGTCAAAATCTGAGCCAATCGAACATTTCCATTAGAATTTTGTCCGAGAATTTCTTATTCTTACTAGATTAAATTTGAGAGTATTGCAATTGAACAAAAATTTAATCACCTTTATGTTTCGTGTGCTTCTCAAATTCAACTAGTTCTTGGAACCAAAAACAATATTCTAACTCTAATAATTAATTGATCTTAGTTGGTTAACATTACCAAGAAATATGCAAAATATTGCGATGCAATCAATTGCAAAAGCATGTAAATCGAATCAAAAATAAAAGTCATGTAAAATGCTAGCTTCTAGAAAGGGTTACAAGATAATTAAGGTTCAAATCCCTGCTGCCGAATTATATTTTGATTTCTCCGCCCATCTCTCCGAGTTTTTCTAATGGAAATCAGTGCTCTCTCTCTCTCTCCACTAAACTATAGAATTTTTATTTTGTTTTTACATGCTCATTTGTGTTCAAAAAACAACAAGCACTTCGTGAACGCATTGTACAGTTCTTCAAAACACACGAAAATCGTGGTAAAATGTTTACGGTGGATCATTTCAAATCAGAGAATGTACCAATTTCTGAGTCCATAGAAATTAAAAAAATTTTATGTGGACAATTGTGAGGGGGTGGTTAAGCATACAAAAAAAAACTGTCTACTTAGTTAATGAATAGCCCCTAAAGTTCTCTCAAATTCTATGGAGGTTCCTGTACTTGAACAAAGTAGACTCAAGGCTCGTTGAACGCTTTTCTAATGCTTGAGCTTACCCGAAGTTCCCTGAGCCCTCTTCTACCAAGTTCCCAGTACTTTAAATATTCTTGCATAGCATATAGTTATGCGCCAGAACCCCAGAATTATGCTGAGTACTAAGGTACAAAGTACTATCCGATATCACGCCACCGACCACACATCCGTTGTCACCAAGCCAGCGTCAGCAGTTTTGGAGGAACGAGCACCACGCCGGACGTTTTTGCAGAACAAGCAGGTTTAGGTTTTAAATAGGCTTTCATAAGTAATCAATAGTTCAGTCTTATTTTGATTTTGAGTTAGTTAACAGCTAGTGAGTGTTTAATTATCAAGTTTAAGGTTAACAAGAGACAGTGAGTGCATGTAGTGTTAAAGTAAAGGAAAATAAATTTATTTTTTTATAATTAATCGAGTGTAACTCTCATATTTATATACACTGGAGTCGCTTTTTACGCGGGTGATACGTCCCGCGTAAAAAAAACCGCGTAAAAAAAAACCGCGTAAATTCCGGAATCCGCGTAAATTCCGAAATCCGCGTAAAAAAAACCGAGTAAAAAAAAACCGTGTAAGAAAAAACCGCGTAAAAAGCGATATACCGCGTAAATTCTGAAATCCGCGTAAAAAAAAACCAAAATCCGCGTAAAAAAAAACCGCGTAAATTCCGGAATCCGCGTAAAAAAAACCGCGTAAATTCCGAAATCCGCGTAAAAAAAAACCGCGTAAAAAAAACCGTGTAAAAAAAAACCGCGTAAAAAGCGACTCCAGTGTACTAACTACAATTATATTTCTACCAAGTTTGATACGATGTTTCCTAAAAATCTACAAAGTTCTCTGAACTCCTAAAAAAAACTGAGCTTCATCAAATCTTCATGTACTTCTTCCAAATAACATACATTTTTTCTAGCTTTCTTCATTCGCCCAAGATCTCAGAACATCCATGCACGAGAAGAACCTGAACCTTGTATAAGAATTCGCCTAAATATCTGGAATCCAGGAAGTTCATTGAGTGTTTTTTAATAAGTTCTTTAACAAACTGCTACAAAGTTAGCTAAACTGTTACGAAGATCCCTGATGTTCTAAGAAGTTTACTGAACTTTAAAAATATTTCATGAGCTGCTACGAAAATGTCTGTACTTCTACGAAGTTCGCTGTACTTCTATAACATTTGCCGAACTGTAGCGAAGTTTCCTGAACATATTCAAAATTCGCTGCATTTCTATGAAGTTTTAAGAAGCTCCTCGAATTGGTACGTTATTAAGCTACACAAACTTTTGCTAAACTACTATGCACTTCTACAAAGAGTGGTTGAACATTTATGAATTTCGTTGATCTTCGGTCACTTGAAGTTCAACACAGTTTCCTGAACTTCTACGGAAATACCTGAACTATTCCACGTCCATGAAACTATAACGAACTCAGTAATTAAAAGGAGATCACTGAACTGTAAGAAGTTTCTGGAAATTAAACAAGGTCCCCATACAAACTTTTATGTTCTCCTGCAAATACAAATCGCAACCAAATTCGTTGTGCATTAAAAGTGGATTTCTCCTCTACCATCTTTTAGTTCTTCAACCAATCCACCCAAGATAATCATCTGGGGAAGTTTCTTTTCTTTGCTATTCAAACCGACTTCCATTGTGTTTGAATTGGGGTAGTTTTTATTATCTAAAACTCACATCTCGACCTGGTATCCTTTGCCGTTACGTTAGTCAACCGGCTTCAGTGTGATAAACCGCGACAGGATCAACACCACGGCAATGGTCGTCAGCACGAAGCATACAGCAAACATATAGAAGCTTTCCTCGGTAAACACATCGGTAAAGGCGGGAATCTGATGGTACCAGTTCTCGATGATGGCCATGTGACCACCTTTTAGCTTTTTCTCCGGCATTTCTAGGCTACTAACTTTCTACTGGATAATAACAAACAAACTTAATTTACTGGCCCTATCGTCGCTTGGTACCACCAGCCTTCTTCTCCGACTTGGTCTTGAGGCCACTGGAAATGATTTCCTTCGGTGCTAGGCTGGAAACGTGCTTGTTGCAGAGCTGCAGCAGTTCTAGCGTAGACAGGTTTGCACTGTTGAATTCAATCTTCTTCAGTTTGGCTTCAGCTTGCACGGAAGGAATCAACTGGAAAACGACGGACGGTGACCTCCGGTCGCACACCACTTCCGATTTTAGCAAGCAAGATGGATTGCTTTGAGAGATCCTAGGCGTCGAGAGGTGGTGGAGGAATTCTCTGCAAAATATTAGAAAGATTAATAAAATGACTACAATTTCAGACAAAATCAACTAATGTTCTCCTCCTTGTTTGTTCTATTTCAGAGCTCGCAGTGAAAAAAAAAACACTTCATTCAAACTGGCGGAAATGTCGACAGAACGGGAATTAACTCCCGGAGGACCTCCACAGCTACATCCACTATACTCGGATCTAACCAGTCACATCCAGCTGAATGGTGTCAACATTATGGGCAAAACTTTTAGCGGTATGTTTTCCGATTCCTAAATAGCATCTTTACTACCTCGCTATGCTTAAGCTTGTTCCTCCTGACGAGGACCCTACTGTTCCTCTTCCTATTTTAGAATAATATTATTCTTCGATTAAGTTAGTTCCAAATACAACTTCCTGCAAACCTTCTATGGTTTCCGGAGCTCTGACTTCAACACTATCAGTTCCACTAGTCGAATACGTAACAACGACCCAAAAATAGTGATTATTAGGAATTAATATGCGTACTTATAGAACCAGCCACCTCCTAGGCAAAAACTTCAATTTTCCAACCAATATGCTTGAACAATCTGACGCACGCCTGCGCACTCCTTGGTCCTAGGAAAAGCGAAAATCAGCCCGGTGCCTCTCTTCTACGTCGCAACGTTTTACCAGCAGCCGCATTACACTCACCTAGTGGGACAGGCATTTTCCTGAAACGGATCGAATGTGACCGTAATTCGCTGAACCGCCTTCAGGTTGATCAACTTCAACTGCTTGCCGATGGCCGAAACGATTCCTCCGGACCGGCTGAACGTTCCACCCACTTTGATAGACATTGTTGTGATCTGGTTGGTTGTTCCTCCGTCTCCGATTGATTAATATTTTTAACTTGATTCTGATGGTTTCATAACATAAACGCACCGCGATGACCAGTCTGTTCTTCCAGGATTTTTTGACAGATCACTCTTTCTCCCACACAGAGAGGTGATTTTCGATTTGACGTCTCCTCTGATGTGACTTTTTCGCACACGGTGCAACTCGTCTAAAATTTGTTTGTTGGTAGCGGCTCGTACCGCAAGGATGCCAAACATTCAGAAAGTGCGATTTTTTTTTCGGACCACTGTATGCTGTCCGTTTTAATCTCGCCACTACTGACAGCATGGTGCCGTCTTTCTGTGGGCAAACATTATCCGGAAAAATAATTTAAGAGATTAACCATGCTTTTAATCCATTACTGGGTACCCTAGGTAAAATAACCATAAGAAAGAGCTTAAGGAAAAGTTTACCGGCTCAAAAACAAAAAAATATTTTCGGCACTTTTTTTTTCTAAAAATATTTGGAAAAATTATCAAAAATCCAATAAAATCAGTTTCTTCCTAAGAAAAATTACCTGTAAAAATATTTTTCTATCTCATCATGAAAAACAATTGGACTCTCAGCAAAACCGAAAAGTCGATGTTTTGTGGTTTTTTGAGTCCAACTTTACGCCATAATGACTTATAAAAAATGTTTTTGCGCGTGAATTTTCTTTGAAAAATTAGAAAAAATGTGATTTTTTTAGATTTTTTATACCTTTTTTTAATATTTTTAGAAAAATCACAACGTATTTATTTTTTCGGAGTGGTTAACTTCCCCTTAACGACGTGTTCGGGTTATCATCCAAATCATTTGTGGGATATGTAGTTCTGCCATCTGGGTAGCTGTTCGTTTATGGTATTTATTTATTAGGGTTATCAAAAAGTAATCAAAATAATCGTAAATAAATTATGGGTAATTTCAGTAACTTATGCAAATAATCCGTTCAGATTACTAAATTACTTTTCTACTTTTGAGTACTGGGCTGGGAAACGAGGTGTTTTGTTTCAATGAAATTTTTTTTTCTATTTTCATTAAGATTATTTCTTTTAAAATGCCCATTAACTATCATCTCAAGAGCTAATTTTCATTACGTCGAAAGTAACAAAGGTAAACAAAGTCGAGCTATCAGTGTCAATCGAAGCTCCTGCTATTACACTATATACTGACCGAATATGGGATTACCAGTATTTACCAGTCAAATTGCTTTTTGACGTAATCACTTTCCGATCAAAATATTTTTCGATGCTACTTAAGTCACCCGAGTTCTATGGAGATGCCGTTTGTCTTAAGTGACAGCGCAGAGAAACCCGTGAAAAGTGTACGTTCGTCGTTTCGCTTTCTCATTATTAAAGTGAATGAATCGAACTGTTTTTCGCTAAGATGATTTCGGTGGTCTTAAAATGATGAATGGGCTGCACATGATTGATAATTCTCCTGAATATCCTAGTAAATACACGTTGACTTAAGTAATATTAGGGGGCCACCAAACGACGTTTAATAACTTTTGACTCAAAAAGTAGTATTTTTTAGAATAAAATGTAGCGATCTGCTTTGTATGATTAAAGCCCTGCTTAATATGTCAAACATTGCTATCACTATGAGATTATATCAAGAACAACATGTGAAAAGGGCATACAAGCTTTTTGTAAACAAACATTCTTATGCCCTTTTCTCGCCACCCATATGACACCAACGCAAACCATCAACATCGCCGGATAGGGGAAGGTTTACCCTTCCCGTAGATGTTGTTAGTTTGCATGGGCGACCTTCGGTTGACAAGAAGAGGGCCTACAAAGGTTTGTTTACAAAAAGCTTGTATGCCCTTTTCACATGTGGCTCTTGATATGCGGTTAATTGGAAATAGGAATAACTTTTCGGTCATCAAAACAAACCTTTATTTTTATCGGATCGGTGCGAATGTTACTTTCGACATAGTGAAAATTTGCTCTTGATCTGAGTAAGATATTGATAGCGTTCCTGCGAAGACAACATATCAAGAAGACTGGCAACTCTGCCAGAATCCAAGCGACTGATACAGTAGCGCTGCACTCGAGAGAAGGGGGAAGTAACGCATAGAGAAATGATAACATTTGATACCGGCACAAAAGCATTTGTAAACAAACTTTCTAAGGCCCTTTACACGTGAACCAAAGTACGCCCACGCAAACCAATACCACTTTCGGAAAGGTGAGAGTTGCTCCTATCCGATGATGTTGTTGGTTTGCGTGAGTGTACTTCGGTTCGCGTGTAAAGGGCCTTAAAAAGTTTGTTTACAAAAGCTTTTGTGTCGTTCCCTAATAAAAAAAAAATACCATACGCGAACGATAACCCAAATAATAGAACTATTTCACAAATGGTTTGGATGATACCCCGAACACGTCGTTTAGCAAAATAACCATAAAAATTTTATTAGGGTTATCAAATGTTACGCCTGATCTGATCGACTCAGAAGTGCGGGCTCTCAAAGATATCACCCAAGCCTATCGTATCGCTGATTATGATGCCTTCTATCCCCTCCTAATTACACACCACCAACTGTTCAAACCTACCAGGCAGTTGTGGTTCCTACTGCAATTTACCACCGATTAAAACCTGAGTACTGCGGAGTCGACCAATTTTATTTTGCAAGCCAATGGAAAACTGCTTGCAAATTTTCTCAAGTTTAAAACTGGTTTGCTCTTTCTCGGTTGATTCCCGCCAAAACCTCTGAGCCAGGAGTTCTCGAGCCCCCATGACTCTATAAAAGTTTGTTTACAGACATGTTTCGCCAAAGTATGTTTTACTGTAATTGAAAACTCAGCTGCCTTATAAAAACTATGCTGGTTTTTATACTTTCATCACTGAGCCTATTGGTTTTTATCTTTGAGCTTAAAATTAAGAATGTGTTATGAAAAAGTATAGATAATTTTTATGAGATTACAATGCTTGACGGTAGATAAGAACAGTAACTGCATTTGCTGCTTGTGAATGTTTGGCTCCCGCTTGACAGTTCACACTGGCTCCCAACTGACAAGCACCTTGAGTGAGTCCGCAGTACTCAGATTAAAACTATCAAACATCTACCCCTTAGGATCTGTCATGCTTCGAAAATAGGATTCAGCAGAAGTGATTTACCCGTCGCTTGTAAGTCTGTTATAGAACTCGAGAAGTTTTTGCCCAATCCACTCAGCTCCACACAGATGTCAAACGTTGGTGATTCATAATTCAAGAGCTTATATATTTGGGATCAATACGTATTGGCCTCTCCCACCAGTACTGAGACTTCTTTCAAAATTATGTGTAGCTCAACTTCCACAGAAGATTCTGCGCTGATCCTTCGTTGTACGCTTCGATATTGGATACCCACGGTAGTATTAATTGTTTAGTTCAAAAATAAGCAGCGTATTCTGGAATAAAGCCTCCAGTATGTGGCCTTTGGGTAAAGCATGTGGACGAGAATGTGGGCAGGGTTGGAAAAAATCACAAGTCATAGTTAGTTTTGGCGAACTTTTCCAATACTGAATGTGAGGATTCATCGAGCTATAGATGCTCGATGCTCACCGTTTCAAATATAAATCCGATCTTCGTAGGATGCATGATATTAATCTTTTCGTACGAATAACAGCATACTGTAGGTGTTCCCCCATCCCCGTTGTATAGTTGTGATCCATTTGATTGATATTAATGAACTTTTTTGGGTGGCCTTCCAAATGTATCATCAAAGGAAATCGTCTGGCACGAATGGTCACTAGAGGTAATCCGTTTCAGCCGTTTTGACTGCCGTATTCTCAAGACACTCTTGACTGGCCATGGTGTGGATGCACTCGATTTAAGTGAGCCCCGAATAGTAGCTATTTAGACGAAAACACGAGCCGCTGGAATTTTTGCTGTGATTCAGAAGAGACGGAGATTGCTAGATCTGAAGAGATTCACGATTCAGAGAATACTTACAACATTTGTCGCACGATCCTCAACATCGGTGGGTTGTTGGTGGGTCATTGTTTCACTAGTTTTAAAACTTCTCTACATTCTCTGACTAGCTTCATTTTTGAGTAAACAAACTATTCAACCGAGTAGTAAACATTGGCAACGATTTGCAAAACGTCAACACTCAACAGTGATGCCATTTTATATTATATTATAGGAGTCCTACTTGTCAAAGTGTGCCTTAACGCGCCGAACAGTTTGACATGCTGTGTTTCGGCCTCGGTTTCGGCACAGTGCGCGGAGTTGATTACCCCTTGCTCTGTACAGATTTTTGGATGTAATATTCAACAATTTTTTTCTGTGTAGTCTATAGAAATTTGTGACGTTAAACGCACGCACACCAGCGGGTGCACCACCGTGTAAAGTTGTTTATTATTTTCCTCTGGCTAACCTAAAATATGTATGAATTTAAATCTGTCAAAATGAGTTTGACTGCGATTTGTTATGTATTTTCCTTGAATTTTCACTAATACGCTCTCACATATCGCACCAATACAATCGGACGTGAAAATCTCTATATCTAACCCAAGGAAACTATACATATGTCAAATTCATGATTCAGCCATGTTGGTTTTTTGTATGCGCGGATAGAAATCTCCTTATACCTTTTGGCAAATTTATATTGCTGATTATTCATAGAATGTATAAGTCAACTAATGAGCAGACGCCTTGCAAAAAGTTAATGAAGATCATGTGTCAAATGAAATGTATAAGCGGTCACACATACCTTTTATGCATTCTTATATTATCTATGCGGTTCGTCTTATGGAATGTATAAGCAACAATCAATACGAAACTAACGATTTTAAATTGGCTCACCACTTTAGTAGCCTATTGGTCCCAAGCAAACGATTAACGTACTCTTTTCTAGTCGAAATTCTAGTACTATGCAATGTTTGTTTTGGTTCGCTATGAAAGTTTGACAGATAAAATGAGGGGTTATTGGTTTTTCCTATGTTTGGAGGGGTGATTCGACTAGCTTGGGACCGAAGATAGTACCAGAGCTGAGCCAAAAAGTTGAGCACGTTATTTCGGGACCTTCTGGTCTTAGAGTTAACTCTATGGTATAAGGCTGATGTTTTGGCAAAAATGTA